AGTGATTGAAATCAGGATGTGGGAGGGATTTCATCTACGTTCTGGTTTAATACCTACCAACTCCATATTATCTCCATTTTAGACATGGGCAAATTATGTCATAGAGATTAAATAACTTGACCAAGGTCACACAGCAAGTAAATGGCAGAATTTGGATAGGAAATCAAAATAATTAGTTTTGTTTTTAAGCTCCAGCATCTTTGTACTAAACCAGCTGCCTCTGATTCATGACAGTTGTCCGCTAGACAAAGAGTAATCATTATTATGACTGAGAATGTTTACATTGTGTTTGTTTTGCTTACACCAGACTTATTATGGCATATGAATGAAAAAAAGGCCTCAGAATACATTTCTAATTTTAAAAACATCTCCTTACTTTCTTCATAAAACAAATGGCCTTTAGAATTTGAAAATGATTTTCACTTTCATCTTTGAAAATTCACAAGTTAGGATTCACATATCAGTTTTGAGTAAGCTGTTAGTTAACATGGAGTAAATTCTACCTTATCAATTTACAGTAAAATAAAAATTCTCAATGTTAAGGAGATCATCCTCCATTTTCCTACACTTGAAATTATTTAAGTAGATCCCTACTTAAACAATAAACAATGACAATCTAAGGAAAAGAATGTAAGGTAATTTTGATTATCTCTACCTTAGGAGGCTTCAAGAAAATTTGCTTAGGTTCTAAGTAGATGGTAGTAAAGATTTTATGCTTCAGTAGAGGAAAAGTGACATTTTAAATAGAATGTTTTTCAGCCTAATAATTAAAACAACAATACTTAGCAGACTTCCACAATACTGCAAACAAACAAAACCCAATTGGCTGGGCTGTTTTTAGTTTAAATTACATGGAGCCCTTTCCAACACTACTTATAGGTAGAGAGGCTTGATTAAAATAGCTGCATAATTCCTGAGCAGAGGGTTTTCTTTGCTGTAATTATATTCGTGTGGTGACTCATACTCTCTTAATTCCTAGATTTTATAAATCAAAGGAAAATATTCCCTTGAACTTTGCCAACCTGGAAGACTCAAAAGTTGTTTTTTAAAAATTATTGTTGTTATTTCTACTACCACTATGACTTCTCTAAATATTATACCTATTTGCTTTTAATCTCACTCAAACTAGCTCCAATGATGGGGATTTACTCATGTGACTGATAGAGAAAGGATCCCACAGATACTCAGCATCAGGGATGGGCTGTTCTGGATCCCAGGACCTGAGCAGCAGAGATTTGGGGGCTTTCCCTCTGGTGTTCCCCACTGGCACACCTCCATTTCTTTCAAGTGTCTGCTCATTTTTTACTTTCTGCCTCTCTTTTCTTGAATGATTTTTTTTTGTGAATTTACTTGTTCAGATTCCCAAGACAGGGAATAATAGTTGGTTCTGCCAATAAACACTGACTGTGTATGGCACATTTCCTCCCCCACTTCTGGGAAATTGAGACCCATACAAGGTTGGGGGCCAGTGCTTCGCAAACATTTGGCTGGTACCTCTCCTGTGTAGGGTATGGCTGCAGGTAACTGGGCGAGATGTGGATGCTGGAACTGTGACATGTTTTGCTCAAGGCAGATTTCTGTCATGCAGCTTCACTTTTGTTAGAAGACCTTTGAAATTTGTGAAATACTATCTCATATCCTCATGAGAAGAAAAGGAAAAAAAGAAAGAAAGAAAGAAAGAAAGAAAGAAAGAAAGAAAGAAAGAAAGAAAGAAAGAAAGAAAGAAAGGAAGGAGGGAGGAAGGGAGGAAGGAAGGAAGAAGGGAAGGAAGGAAGGAAGGAAAGAAGGAAAGAAAGGAAGGAAGGAACGAAGGAAGGAAGAAAGAGAAAGAAATAAAGAAAGAAAAAGAAAGAAAGAAAAGAAAGAAAGAAAAAGAAAAAAATACTGTTGGTTGGCTGCACAATAGCTCTTCTCTCCACCACCCTCCTTCCCCCAAACATTGTTCAGCTCTGTCTGAGTACTCATGATGTTCATGCAAGGCTCTGGAGAAGGAAAACTTGATTGTTCAAAGGCAAACATCCCAGTCGAAGGATTTGTTTTGGTGAGGCCCAGTAAGGTAATTCTGGCAAAACGTACTTGAGAAGATGGATGCTAGGGGCATTTTGTGAAGAGTTTACAGATTCTTTTAAAGAAATTCAGGGCTTTTCTACCTTGGGATATTTTTTATCTATGTAAGATGCTTAGAATTGCAGTAGCCATGCTAGGGTCATGACAGGAGCCAGTGAAGAGGACAGGTGACTCACCATGTTAGTGAAGGAGCAGAAAGATGAACTTATGCCTGGTCACATCCATGGTCACATCCATGTGCTGAGCCAGCACACTGACTAACTCTGGAACTGCCCGATGTCTGGTGGGAAATTACTTTGATGTAATAGGTAGTAGCTCACAAGTATACTACCGGGCAAGCTAGCCCCCCCCACAGACCAAATTAAAATCCTCAAGTCACATTGTTTGCTAAATTAATTTGAAAGACATGGTGAGAAGCAAGAAGAAAGAAACGGGTGGGTTAGCAACCTTAGTATAGGGTACAAGTTGGCTGGAAGGATCCCTCCAGCTAAACCTGGGGTACGTGGTGTTTGTAAGTTCTGCCTCTCTCTCTGCTGCATCTGCCTTCCCTGCTGTGATGATGTGCTTTCAAGGACCAGAGTGGAGGTTTGGGCAAACTCCATAGGTCGAAGGTAGTTCAAGCTAATGACACCCATTTGCTGGTTCTGAGTTACATAGAAATAAGTAGGCTTAGTCGGGAGCTGTAAATTGCCGGTTAGCTTGATGAACAGTCATGAATTCTATTTGTGTTTTTTGGGCAAAGAAAACATGGGGCAGAAATGGGTGTCAGCAGAGTTTATTAACCAAAGCAGTTTTACCCCCGAGTCTACATTGGCAGTGTCTGGAGACATTGTTGATAGTCATGGCTGGTGTGTCTGTGGGATGCAATTGGCACCTGGTGGGTAGAGGCCAGGGATGCTGCTAAACATGCTACAGTGTGTAAGATACTCCCCAAGACAAAGAATTATCTGGCCCAAAGTGTCAGTACTGTGGAAGTTGAGAAGCCCTCTGTGTCACCAATAGGTGATTGAATTAAAAAGTCATAAATATTATTTATGTATAGTGTATCCTGGATAATTAGTATCTTTTGTATATTATATCATGAACATTTATTACCCAGGTGCTTCATGAATATTAGATATCATTTGGTCACCCATCCCTTTCTATTAAGGTGTAATGCATACATGATCTTCTGAGTTATACTTACCCATCCTATGCATTCTGCCACATCTAAAAAAATTTTGTTTACTAGTTACTTATCTATATTTAAAACATCTTAGAAGTGTTTGCCTATATTTTGTAAACTTCAAATTTATTCGTCTAACAGACTTGGAGATTTGCAGAAGCAAATTCACATTACACCTGTCCTGGAATTTCTAACAAGAAATAAGATAAAAATGTCCTATAAACAAACTATGAATTATTTAAGCCACTTTTAGTTGTGTTTTCTGCATCTTGCAGCTTTGAGCATCCTAGCTGGCTCCCCCATAACATCATTAGGAAAATGTATTCCAAAGATACATTTATCTTTGATGAATGAAACAAGGAGTTAGACTATAATTATAGGTTTCCTAAATAGTAATGTAGGGATCAGATACTGTAGGAAATTGATTATGGTGCCTGTGTTAATATAACACATGCTCGATCATTCTGTTTACCTTTCAAGCAACTGTAGGCATGGTGCTTATCACGGCAGGCCTATGCACTCAGATTAAGAGAAAAAGAGAGAGCGTGTGCACATGCAAGAGCAGGGTGCGGGTATGGGGAGGGACAGAGGGAGAAGAAAGAAATAATCTTAAGCAGGCTCCACACTCAGCATGGAGGCCGATACAGGGTTCAATCTCACGACATTGGGTCCTGACTGGAGCTGAAATCAAGAGTTGGTTGCTTAACCCACTGAGCCACCCAGGTGCCCCAGAAATTCACATTTTTTAAATGATTGGGATACGTTTGGCATGGTGAACTTCAGAGCACTGTGAAAAAGATTTTTTAGTTGGCTGAACATCTATTGACAGAGTAAATTTAGAAATTTAAGTTTTGTGGCTCAGTTGGTTAAGAGTCTGCTTCGGCTCAAGTCATGATCCCAGGGCCCTGGGATTGAGCCCCATGTCGGGCTCCCTGCGCAGTGGGGAGCCTGCTTCTTCCTCTCCCTCTGTCCTTACCCCCTGCTCATGCTGTTTCTCTCTCACTCTGCACTCTCTCTCTTTCAAATAAATAAATAAAATCTTAAAAAAAGAAATGTGTAGCTTCATTAATTATTTTTATTTAATGATGTTTATATTTTAATGCTTTAAAAATCTTAAGACTTTAAGACTTTTATGGAAGTTGTGTCTTGAGGCACCACCACTGAAAGGGGAATTTTTTCATATCTATGGAATTAAAGGGAAGCATATTTAAGAAAATCTAAACAGTTTTAAATGATACAAGAAGGTTATTTAGGAGAGATTTCAAAAAGGATTATTTAAAAATGCTCAAAGCATATTCCTTCTCATTTCTTTGCCCCCTTTTAATGTTTTCATGATGGAGAGGAATATTTTGTTAGATTAAAATATCACACATTAAAAATGGTAAAGTGTGATATCAAATCAGAACTATTTGATAAAAGCTAAAGTAAAAATGGGAAGGATGAGATGTCTTGCAAATAACGGTGAGCTTATGATGGTTTCCAGGAACTGAACTAGGTCAGAGGAATAAGCTCTGGTAGGCAGTGGGGTGACAGGTGACTTAACCTCATACTTTTTTGGAAGTACTAGGATGTGTGTGTTTGTGAGAGAGAGAGAGAGAGAAAAAGAGACAGAGAGAAAGAGCGAGAGGGAGAAAGAGACCTATAAAGTTTTATTTTTGTTTTAAAGTATGAGCTAAAGAACCATAAAGCTGGTATGTGTAAACTTGTCAATTTTCAGATGATTTACATTTTCAAGGTCCTCTTTAATCATCATTTCTGTTTGTTACAGCTATTTGCTGTCCTCTGAATACGTAGAGAGACACGTTGAACATGGAGGGAAGACGGTGGAAGTTAAAGTAAGTAAAACTGAATCATAGACCTGTACCTCTGAAACAAATAATACATTATAAGTTAAAAAAAATAAAAAGAAGAAGATAGAAGGAAGGAAAGAATGAAGGGGGGGAAATCGGAGGGGGAGACGAACCATGAGAGATGATGGACTCTGAAAAACAAACTGAGGGTTCTAGGGGGGGGGGGGGGGGGGATGGGTTAGCCTGGTGATGGGTATTAAGGAGGGCATGTTCTGCGTGGAGCACTGGGTGTTATATGCAAACAATGAATCATGGAACACTACATCAAAAACTAATGATGTAATGTATGGTGACTAACATAACATAATAAAAAAAAGTAAAATTGTTTCCCTCTGGGGGAAATTTTTTGAGAATTTTTAAAATACTGATTCTGATTTTAATTTTCATCAATACTTCTAATGTACAGTCTTGGGGTTTTTATATTTCAGAATTCTTCAAGAAAGTGTATCACCCACTTGTGAATAAAAACCTTCAGTTATCAGAGAAAGAATTCTTAGTGTACTGTAGGAATTGTTGGAGTTAGGTTTGATGGGATTAATGTAGTGCAAGGGGTTCTTTTTTAGAATATGTCACAGAAAATAATTTCTGAATTTGCCTTTAAGGCTAGCCCTGAGAAACAAGAGGTAAAATCTTGGGTCCAGGGTAGATACATGACTTTGCATTCAGTTGAAAAAGACATTTCCCTGGAAAAGTGGTATTTATTAGGTCTACAGGGAAAGCCCTGGGGCTTTTTAAATCCCTGGTGAGAGAAATCGCAGGACACTGGTTCTTGTCAGGTAAGCTCTGAAAAGGTGACTTGTAAATAAAAGCCTCTTCCAATTATAGGCATAGGAATGTATATTTTTGTCCAGTCTACTGATGATGTCATCTGAAGACATGTGAGACTGAATCCCACCCAGGGGTTTCTTTAGGCCCGTTGTATAGTATGATGTTTTAACCATGTGTTTATTTTCTTCTAAACAGTGTTCAGACTACCTGTTTTACTTTATAAGAATTATAATACCACTTATATATATTTGCTTTCTTTTTCTGAATATAAATTTGACACAGACTCATTTTAGTAAACTTACAAGTAGAGAAAAGTGGGGGAAAAAATGAAAAATCATCCTTAAATTCATCACTGAGGTAAACTTTGTTTTCATTTTGTTGCATGTCCTTTTAGTATTATTTTGTCTTATGCACCTATTTATATTTTAATTTTTTTATATAGTTGCTATCATACATACCTGCACTATAGTAAGCAAGATTTCTATATCATGTATAGACATCACTGATAAAGACTTAAAACAAAATCTGTTAATTTTTATAAGTGAACTAATTATAATAATTATACCAGTACTTCCAGAAAGTTACTCTAAATTTATTAAGACTGGCTGATTGAATGGTTGGTTGATTTATTGCACTGCCTTACTGCAGAAAGGATGTCAGGATTTTCCCAGGTATGACATAGGAGAATGGTGCCATTTTGTTTGGAGTTGGAAAAAATTACCGAGATGTAGAATCTCTGGGCTTCTGTTCTCTTCCCTGTTTATTTGGCTTCACTTCCTTATTTTGTAGGATGCTTTTCTGAATGCAGAGTGTATCTTATTCTTTTGTTAAATTAAAGAGGAAAAGAAATAGTCATTTCACTATCAATTTCCATTTATGCCTGTCAGTGGAATAATGAAATGCATACATGAGCGTGGAGGGCAGATCTAGCAAAAAGCTGTCTTCTGTTGCTACAGCAATATCCCTTTTCAGGAAACTTGAACTTCATCAACAAAGCTTACTCCACTCTGAGATCATTAGACAAACGGGTATATATAACACCTAGAGCTCTGATGTTCTGCACAGTCTTGGCTGATTTTCTAGTCTGAGAATTGCGTTTTCTTGGTTGATGGTTTGCCTAACCCCCCAAGCCTATTAAACAAGGGAAATAATAAATCCAATCTTCATTCAAACCCTTGGGCCAGAAGACGTTTCTCCCTTCAAGAAAACCACTTGGATCTCACCCATCACCTCCATTTGTTTCTAGTCCTTTTAAAAATCTAACTCAAAATTCTCCTCTGGGTTTTTTTCAGGAACCACATTGAAAGCTCTGAATCCTGCCCCATCAATTCAGTTAGTAGCCAGTTATTTTCCTGCTGGTTCTCTTGTGTCTTGCCCTTTGTGCTTCACTCTTTGGGGTGTTTCTTTTTACATGGAATCTGTTAGTTCTCTTTTCTTTACCAATGACTCAGACTTTTCTTAAGCTTTTCTTTTCACTATACATTAGGAGCTAAAATTGTAGCATTTCATATTTTTTTCTCTTCTTTCCACTACTTTTTCAAAACAAATTTTTTTACCTTCTCTATTAGTTTGCTAAGGCCTCCATCACAAAGTACCACAGAATGGCTTAAACAACAGAGATGTATTTTCTTAAAATTTTGGAGGCTAGAAGGCCAAGACCGAGGTGTCAGCTGGGTTGGTCTCCTCTGAGGCTTATAGATGGTGCCTTCTCCTTATACCTTTACAAGGTTTTCCCTCTGTGTGTGTGTGTGTTCTCATTTCTTCTTCTTCTTCTTTTTTATTTATTTGAGAGAGAGAGAGAGAGAGCACATGAGCAGGAGAGGGGGAGAGGGAGAGGGAGAAGCAGGCTCCCCGCTGAGCAGGGAGCCCGATGCAGGACTCAGTCCCAGGACCCTGGGATCATGACCAAAGGCAGATGCCCAACCGACTGAGCCACCCAGGAGCCCTCTAATTTATTCTTCTTAAACAGACCATTCTTCATGTTGGACTAGGGCCTACTCTAACAACCTCATTTAACTTAATTACTTCTTTAAAGACTGTGTCTTCAAGTACAGTTACAATCGGAGATACTGGGGGGTTAGGACTTCAACATAAGAATTTCAGAGGAATAAAATTAAATCCATAATGCCTTTCCTAAGAGTGCTTTTTTTTTTTAAGATTTATTTATTTTAGAGGGAGCGAGGGCGAAAGAGCACATGTGGAAGGGGCAGAGAGAAAGGGGAGGAGAATCTCAAGCGGACTCCATGTTGAGTGCACTGAGCATGGAGCCCCACCCAGGGCTCCCTCTCACGACCCTGAGATCGTGGCCCTGAGCTGAAACCAAGAGTCCCACACTGAATGGACTGCACCATCTAGGTGGCCTTGTGCTTTTCTTTTGGAAGTAAAATAAATGAAGGGTATATGAAATCAAGACAAAACTCTTATTTCTTTTGATGATATAAAATCAAAATCAAAATCATTATGCCAGATCGGGGTGCCTGGGTGGCACAGTCTGTTAAGCATCTGACTTATGATTTCAGTTTAGGTCGTGACCTTGGGGTTATGGGATTGAGCCCTGCATGGTGCTCCCTGTTGGGCGAGGAGTCTTCTTGAGATTTCCTCTGCCCCTCACCCCGCTTGTGGTCTCTCTCTCTGTTTCTCTCTTAAATAAATAAATAAATACAATCTTAAAAAAAAAATCATTAAGGCCAGATTTAAACAATGGCTAGATACCAATCTAGTAAATGACTCTGCTCAGGTGTCATGGAACCTTTATTTGTGAAACTCGGGTGCAATGCATTTATTTAAGGGTGTGAGTATGAATGTGGGAAAAGGAATACATTTGCATAAAAAATATGAAATAGCTACTTTTAGATGGTGATTTTTTTCAAAACTTTTTATTTATTATTTTTAAATTTAAAAAAATTTTAAAGATTTTATTTATTTGAGAGGGAGAGCATGCAAAGGAGCATGACGGGGGTGGGGGGCTGGGGGCGGGCAGAGGGAGAAGCAGACTCCCCGCTGAGCAGGGATCCCGATGCAGGGCTGGATCCCAGGACCCTTGGATCATGACCTGAGCTGAAGGCAGAGGATTAACCGACTGAGCCACCCAGGAGCCCCTAAAACCTTTTTAAGTTGTAAAATATAACACTGGCACAGGAACTGCTAAGGTGAATACCCTATAACCACTATCCAATTCAAGAAATAGAGCTTGACCAGCTCTTCTGTGTGCTGCTTCCCAAACCCGAGCCCCTCCCTCCTCCTCTTACAGACTTGTAAGTAGTATTGTGACCTTTATGGTTATAATTTCCTCACTTTTGTTTATTGTCTTATCACCTGAAATTGTACCCCTGCAGTTTAATTTGCCTATTTGAAGTTTTTTTAATGAGTTTTAAAAAGTCTCTTTTAATCTGTTGGTTTCCTCATGTCTTTCTTTTTTTATTCTCCTTTGCAATTTATTTATTATTTTTTTTAGAATTTTTTAAATTTAAATTTTATATTTTATTTATTTATTTGAGAGAGTGCATGAGCTGGGGGGCAGGGCAGAGGGAGAGGGAGAAGCAGGCTTCCTGCAGAGCAGGGAGCCCGATGCAGGGCTCCATCCCAGGACCCTGGGATCATGACCTGAGCTGAAGGCAGACGCTTAACTGAGCCACCCGGGTGCCCCCCTCTCCCTTGCAATTTATATGTTGTTTCTTCAACAAATAAATTGTTTACCCTATGTGGACTCTCACAGTGGGGATTTTGCTGTCAACTGCAATTTTATATTTAGAGTAAAATGAAATCTTATGTCTGTGATCGTTCCTTAAGATAGTGATTTGTATTATCTGCAAGGACATTCTATGCCCTGTTGAAGGTAGTTTTATTCCAGTCAGATAGATACATAATCCTGATTTTAAAGTTCTATTAAAACCTTTTCTTCAAAGTTTACAAAGATAAAAGCTTTAAGCGGAAAAAAAAAGATATTTTTGTTCCCTTAATAAGACATGTTAATCTCATCTTTCACTTACATTTATTTCCAGTTCATTTAAAAATTAAATTCTAAATTTGCTCCTTAGTTTAGGAAGAACTTTTTTTGTGTCTGATACGAACTTTTAAAAGAATTGTAACATTAAGCTTCAACTGATCAGAATATCTTGGGAACAAAATCTTTTCATTTTGACTGTGACAAACTGTGGATCTAGATTCTTCAGACAGAGTGACCTGGGATTGATGAGTAGCAGCAAATAAGTATAAAC